TGTTGCTATCTTCTTTACTGTGGAGGGCTAGGCCACAGAGTCCTGGTCCCAGCATGAAACCGCAGAGTTTCTGGGATGCTGTGGGCTGAGCCCTGCAATGTCAAGAGACAGCAGTTCTGTTTCTAATGTGAAAAATGGTTGCAGTCTTGCAAGCTACCTTCACCTCCAGCCTCTGATGCTCTCTGATGACCGAATTTCTGGCAAGAGATGATCTGTTGCAATACTAGCTCGTAGGGCATTCAAAGAGACAGAAATGCCTTAAAAGTAATCTTAATTCTACTCTTGTTTCTTTAAGGACTTGCTTGCCAGTATGGAAGGAGACTCTCTCCATACAGACTTGCATGGTGATCTCCCAGGAGAGGATGGTTCAATCCTGTGATGCAGCATCCCTCCATCCAGAATTCACACCATAGTCCCAAAATGTGGGGATTTGCCTCTTCAGCTTGGGAAGGCATTACTTCTTGAGGTGATTTTAGCCCAATGAACCACTTGTCTTCATCTAAAGATGGGGTTTGAAGCTTAGAGGGGATGTAGTTCCTCACCTTAGAGTCTCTTCCATTGTACTAGACCAGAGCAAAGGTCTTTCTGTCCCAGCATTCATTCTCAGGTCACACTGCTCAGCTGATACGTACTTGGTAGCGATAGATCTGCAGCTCTGATCAAAAGGAGAAACTGTCCTGTGCTTGGGCAGTTGATATAATAGGTAACAGGGCCCTGACATCTTGCTCAGAGGTTTGAAGTCCTTTTTTTCCCCATGTGTATCTAAGCGTTGACCAAAAATACAGACAGCTGCTTTGACAATCAAAGACAGTGTTATGTTTGACTGGGCTGCTGGAGCAGTAGCTGTCTTATGTTTATATTAAGTCAAAGACAAAAATGTTTCTCTAGACCAGTGTTAAACAGTTTTCTTTTTTCAAGATTGTGAAGGGTTGGTGGTTTTCAGAACAGACACTATGGAAAATATCAAAATATCTTTGTCTCTCACCACACAGATTTTCCACGGCTAAATTTACCTTCTATATCAGAAGTGTGAGAAATCTGGAAAACCCCAGACTACCCCAGACTGCTACTTTCAACTGACATTGATAGGGGCTTACCCTACCTAACAGTAACAATTAATGTAAATATATTTTTGAGGTTCCTTGAAAAGTCTGTACATCTGAGTCTCTCTAACAGACAAGTACTTCTTTTTTTTGGAAAACCATTGTTTTAGTGAGCTGAAAGTGAAGATACAAGAAGCCAGCAGCAATCACTGCAGTGCTACCATGTTTACACATCATGAGTCACTGCTGTATGTTCTTTAATTCTGATAAAAGGCTCTACAGGAAAAATAATTTGAAACCCCATGATGACTGGACAGTCTCCCCATGTTCCACCCATTATCTCTAGTCCTTGTACTCTCACATGTGGCATCAGGCTGCCAAGTGACATGATAGACAGGGGGAGAGTCTTTTCTTCATTTTCTCTTTCAGAAACTCTGAGATTTTCACTGAATCTCTTTTCTTGCGTACTGGATCTGACAGTTTCCCAGCAGTCTCAGCTCAGTAGCCTGCCTTTAGCTATTACTCTTTGACTGGTAGATACATCTGTTCATCCTAGCACATACTCTTTAATATAATTCTTCTGCCACTGTCAGCAGGGAGAGGACGAATGGAAAACAAAAGCACCAAGTTAACAATCCTTACGCACAATGTAGTGTCAGAAAAGAGGCTGTGATCTCCCCTCTGTACTGTACTCCAAATTGGTGTAGTCAGTATGAAAACATGTGAACTGTGCTTTAATGGCAATTCCCTTCCTTCTCCTCCCTTCTAGTCCCTGCCCCTTCATCCCACCAAGTGACTCCTTCTTCAAGGGTTACAAACTATTACCATGCAGGTAGAGCAGCCAAAACAGCAGTGCTTCTCCTTAATCTATTTGGAAGGCTACTAGAGTTAAAATGGAGTGCTGCTTGCAGATATGTTTAGTCTCCACAGGTCACACCTTTGTGCAGACACCCTTGAAGTCTTCTCCCTCTGCCCTTGGTATACTTGATCATCATTTAGATGACTAAATTTTAACCTTCCTCTGCCCTTGGTATTCTGTAACTCCAGCAAGAGTATAAAATGTGTTATGTTTGGTCTTTTCCTGGTTTCTACAGGCCAAATCAATTTCAAACTCCTCTTTAAAAATAAAATATGTTGTTAAATAAAAGATACTGTTCACTGGCAGACTTGGGAAACCCCCTTTGAGGTTTTTTTATCACAGGCTTTCCCTCAGAGTTTGTGTTGCCATCACCAGCTCTATCTAGGCCTTTGGATAGTGGCCAGCAGATAAAGCTTGAAGAAAAGGCAAAGCTAGTTAATTTGAAAGGAAAACATGCTTAATATGTTGAAAAAACTAATAACAACCACTCTTTTGGAGAGCTGATGCATGCTTTTGATAGGCATTTCAATCTCAGCTCCATCTTGCCACATGTTTGTGTGGATTTGGGACAAGCATATTCTGGTCAACAAATGCAACCTGTATATCTTCCCGTTCATCACACCAGGCTGCATGGCCTCACAAGGAGGTGCAGAACCAGGAGGCTGTGTGGGCACAGGTCAGTCTGAACAGCCCTCCCAACCAAATGGGATAGCTGGGGACAGGCTATTGCACAGAGATTCATGGATAATTAAGTAGGTGAGTGAGTGTTGCATGACACCGTTTCAGGGGTAGGACGGCAATGCATTGGCAGTCTCCTCAGGAGCCTGCATTTCAAGGAGCTGCAGTCTCAGGGTGCCACAAAGGTGCCTCAATGGTGAAAACAGAAGAGCCTCATCTACCCATGTGATGCAATGTGGAGCTCTGGGCTTCCAGAACAGAGCTAGGTTCTACTTCTCATCTCTCTTTGTGAGAATGAGGGGATAAAAAAGAAAAAAAAAGAATCCTCTCCTATCATTTACTTGCTCAGGTAACTTGAGTCAGTGGTGTTAGCATTCACCTTGGTGATCCAGAGAAATAAAAGAACAAAATCTTTGAACTGAGAATGATCTTACTTCTGACCTGTCTTATTGGAAGGGTAAATGCTGAAAATAATGAAATAATTCTGTCTTGCCCAGGGCTCTTAAAACAACAGGGTTGCTTGATATTTCATGACTTGTATAGGGCAGGACCCTTTTCAATCTTTTACCTGACTGGAGTGTTCAGATCCCTAGCAGATACTCTGAGCTCCTAAGTTTTGCTGAGACTGAGAGCATGTAACCTGTTTTATAGGAGCTTACTGCTATTTACTTTGCATCACAGACCAAAGTAAATACCTCTGTGATTGACTAGTATGTGATAATCTGCCCCAAGTGTAAAAAACCTCATCCTTAAAGTTAGAAATCGATTAGATACCTAAAATACATGTTTTCTGTCCTTCCAAATGTTCTTGTCAGTATTCCTACAATTTTGGATCCCCTTAGTACCCGATAAACTGCCATTTCTTCTTTGACTCTTGCTAGACGTCATTAAAAGGCACAGCAGCTGCATCCCAGTGGGCATATTCTCCTTTTCCCCTTCCAAGCTGTGAGCAGTGTCACATCCACTGATGTGCAGCCCTTCCCACATTCCCTGTGTGGGGTGGCCCTTTGCTCTCCCACATGCTTGCCAGTCTATCCACGTGCAGGTATAACCCTGTTGTCATCAGGGCTGGCTGCGGGCACAAGCGTAGCATGCAGTTGCCTTCGGGAGCCGACAAAACTGGCAAAAGAGCCAAGCTGTTTTGTATATGGCAGAGACCTGGAGGGCAAGAGTGGCTGGTGATGCCTGGTTTGGGGCAGACTATAAAAAAGCAGCTCTGTATCTTTTCCCAGGGACCAGCCAGGCTGGCCCCCAACCGTGAAACAACATTTCATGTTGGCAGTAATGATGTCTGTGCTCGTTCGTGCAGTACCTGCAGAGCCACCTGTTCTTTGGTCCCACAGATCTCCAGTATTCTGTGCACAGAAACATAAGGAACAGAGCCCCCATTTTCCCCACTGCTTGAGTAGGGGGGGGCGGGGGGAAAGAAAAAAAAGATCTTTAGGTAGCATGCTACAACTTTTTGATCACAGAGCCTGGCTCTGGTGGAACTGAAATCCTGCCAGTTGCTGCTTTCTCAGACTGCAGCAGGTGACAGGTCCTCTCAGCTGCCGACACCGTTTTGCACCCTCCTGCCTGCTCCCTCCTTCCCTTTTCTCCCTGGTGTTACCCAAAAAGCAGGTGCGTGCCTGGTGTGCAATAAACCAATCTTAACACACTCAGGAGAAATACTGTATTTATTCAGGCCTGGGTGTTCAGTGGATTTTTCCACAAATCACACAAACAGCACGTTTTTGTGCTTGCTTTTATACACAAAAATCAGAGGTTATTACTTTTCCAAACATGCTTATTAGAGACTGGTTAGTGATTAACCTATGATTAGAATACAGTTTACATAATGCTTCTGCTGTTACGCATGCTCTTAACCTGAGCTGGGGTCTTTTTGACCTGTGGGTGTGTTTTTTAGTATTATAACGAAGGCAGTTCACCTTCAGGCACTCAAAAGTTAAGTTGCATTGCCAAGTAAATTAATTGATTAGTCACTTTGTCAGCTGGTCAAATAACTCATCCTCAACGCAATCCCAGACTATTCTCTTTATGGTCCAGGAGGTTCTACTCATTTTCTAGGGTTTGGAGACCAAAGTCTTTCATATCGCTAATCAAGGTCATCTTAACCATGCTTCAAAGTCTCACTGGATCAACCTTCAAACCCTTGTGATGGTCCCCACGGGGTAACTGTAACTAGCGGTATAACCACTGAGGTGTACTCATCGCTCGTTACGTGTGGCGGGTTCGTGGGGACCGTCTCTCCCGACAGATGGATCGGTTGTTCCTGAATGGGGAACGTTCGTGCGCCGAGGGAACGGCGGACACGGCTCCCACGGCCTGAGGGAAGCGGGAAGTGCGGGCGGCGGCCGCGCATCCGCACTCGGCGCGGGAAGCGGCGGCCGGCGCCGGGCAGGCGCCTCCCGAACTCCATCTCCCGGCGGGCCGCGGGGCAGCTCACCCGGAAGCAGCGGAGCCCCCGGGGCCGCGGGTGTTCCTGGCGGCGGTTGTCTCTCCGCTCCCGGCCCCTCCCGCCCTGTTTTTCCCCGCCTTAGGCTGTGGGTACCGCGCAGCCGCCCGCCATGTCGACGGTCGCGGCCGCCAGCTGCGACGCCAAGGGCGCGGGTGAGGCGCGGGAAGAGAAGAAGCCGCTGAAGCCCTGCTGCGCTTGCCCCGAGACCAAGAAAGCGCGGGACGCCTGGTGAGGGCCTCCGCCAGCGGCGGTTCCCGTCCC